ATGGGCAGAGAGAGATGGAGACACAGAATCCAAAGCAGGCTCCAGGCTCTGAGCTGTCAGCATGGAGCCTGATGTGAAGCTCGAACTCATGAACAGTGAGATCATGACCTGAGCTGCAGTCCAAGGCTCAACCGACTGAGCCACCACGCGCCCGAGAGAGAGAATCCTAAGCAGGTTCCACACACAGTGCAGAGCCTGACATAGGGCTCAATCCAATGACCCTTGGCTCATGACCAGAGCCGAAATCAAGAGTTGGAGGTTCAAATGGACTGAGCCACCCAGGTGCCCCTACACTAGCCTTCTGAAATTAGCCTTCTAAACCTCCCTGCTTCTATCCTTGCCCCCTCTACTGTATTCTTAACAACTAGAGTGGTCTTGTTGAAATACAAGTTAGATGACACTCCTCTGCTTGAACCTCAAAACATGTTCCATCTCACTCAGAGCAAGGCCCAAACCTTTACAGGGACCTACAAAGCCCTGTGTGATCTGCAACTACTGCCTCTCAGGCCTTATTCTTCTACTCTGTGCCTAGCTCACTCTGCTCTAGCCCACTGGCCTGGCTTTCTTCAGCATGCCAGGGACATCCTTGCTTCAGGCTTATAACATCACCAGGGGTCCTTCCAGGTTTATCTCAACATTCAGACTTTAAGATTATCCTAACACTCATCTGGTACCAGAATCACTTAGAGAGATCCAGGATTAAAGTCACAGCTTGCCAGCAATGTGGCATCAGGCTTTCTACCTTTGGAGGAACCTTCTTAACTGTCTGTGTGGGATCCACACCCTGCCCAGGACCTCGTCTCTCCCCAGGCCCCTCCTCTCCGGATCATCTCAGGCACAAGGAAAAGAGATCCACTGGACATGGGGGTCTGCATTTACCCTGGCTTAAAAGGCTTATTATGCTCCAAAGAGGCTAATCTCTGGTGTAACTCAATAGATACACTTTCTGTGTGTCAAGGGACATGCCCTGTTATAGGTGTCACCACAATCACAGAAGTCCGGTGGTGTGGCTTCCTACCGGGCATTTATCATTCTTCCAGTCCAGATGCAGTTGACCAAACAGTAGTCATTTATATCACAAGCAACGTTGCCTAGTAACACAGCTAACATTCTACTTTTATCAGGTCTCCAGGGAAACAGAGCTAGAAAGCTGAAGAAGTCAAATGTCAAGTTCTCCTGGAGAAGGGCAAGGAGTCTGTGAACACTCTGTCCATGTGTCTTTTGCTTTTGCTGTTCCCTCTGCCGGGGAGGCTCCTCCCTGGACATCTGCGTGGTCTGCTCCCACACTTCCTTCATCAGAAGTCACCTTCCCAGTGAAGGCTTCCTACGTGAGAATTGCAACTCCTAATATCACCTGCTGACACCATCCATGTACGCTGTATTTTCTTTTTCATTGTCCTTATTACCTTCTAATATATATAATTTATGAGCTGGTTTTGCTTATTTTGTTTTCCCATAGAATTTAAAGTCTATATGGCTGGGGCATTTGTCTTTTTTCTCCTGCACTGATAATTCTTAGCACCTAGGACAGTGCCTGGAACACAGTAGGTTCTTCAACAACTATTTGTTTTATTTATAAATGAGTGTATGTCTTTTCTGTCTTTCAAATTCTGAATTTTCACTGGTATCCTTTTTTGGGGGGTAGAGAGAGGCCAAATGTTTTCAGCCTACAAATAAAAAGGGGCATGGTGTTAGAGATTAACACGCAGGCCAAACTGCCTGGGCCTCAGTAAAGGTTTTGCCACTCACCTTGGAGGTTTCCCTAATCTCTCAGTGCCTTTGTTGTCTCTCTGTAAGTGGGGATAATAATAGCACCGATATCTCACTGTTGTCATGAGGATGAAATGAGTTAAAATATGTGTCAAGTATTCAGAAGAGTACCTGTCACTTAGGAAGCATTATGTGTTACCATTATTAAAATCAAATTTTAAAAGGCCTTTGTTTCCACTCTGCACCACTTCTAGATATTTCCCTTTCTTCCAAGTTTTTCTTCCTCTCAGCTGATCGACCTGAAAGTCACACCTACGCCAGTCTTTAATTTCCATTCACTTTTCCAACCACTCAAACTATGATTTCGAATGACCCGGGGGCTACTTGTTTCTCCTTAGTCCATGAGTGAGTTGTATGCCTGCCATCGTTGACCACACGTGTCTTTCCACTCTCTCCTGGGTTCCACCTCTCCATACGGCTGCCCCTTCTCAGTCTCCCTCAGAGGCACCCCTTTTTCCTTTGCTCACACGTTGGTATTCTTGACGTCATCTCTCTCTCCACATTCTCCCTGGTGACTCCATTCACAGGCATGGCTTCAACTCTCACGCTGATGACACCCAGTGAGTGCCAGCCCTACTGACAGTTTCCCAAAGGTGTCATGTTCTTCCTCACACCCATGACTTCAAGCTTTCTGTCTCCTTCCTGGCATCTTTTTCTACCCCTGGCTCCGTCTCCCTTAATACAGTTGGTTCTCCAAGTTTTAATACAACCGTCACCTTTTCTCTCATTCCCAAGCCACGGGCCCCTCCTCTGCACTCTCTTAGTGCTTTATGGATGCCCCTATCATAGTAGAACACTTGACGGCCAGTTTATTTAGTTTTATACAAATATATATACATATATGAAAGTGCAGTGAATATGTTTTGGGCTCCCTTCCATGACTACAAACACCATACACAAGTAGAGCAGGACAACTAGTATTTACACGGCTGAAAATCATACCACCAGCTCTTTTTAAAGGTTTCAACAGCTTAGTGTCTTGCTCTGGCTCCCATTTTGATGTGAGTCTAGGCACCTACCTGCAGAGTACATCCGAACACACCGATCATCAGCATAGCTACCGAAAGGTAGTCGGTAAACACATCCCACCATGGTTTCAGCACACGGAAGGCAGGCTGCTGCTCAGAGAACTGTCGGAATTCTGTCACCGGAATCATGTTTCTGAGAAAGGAAAGGCTGTGAATTAATTTCTCTTCGTGTACAACACACCACATTAACAGCATTTGACGTGCTGCTTCAACCCATGAGAAGCAGTGACCTGAATTAGTCCAGGAGTTGTCAAGGCACCTTGGTGTTTTATGAAACCATTGAATAACGCCACTGGTAGAGGAAATAAGCCCCACACGGAAATGGCAAATACTTGACTATTATCCCATAAGTGGGTTGCCTTTGGCTCCGCATGACCAGAAGGACCATGGCCAGAACAGACCATTATTTCCTGGACCTTCCCTTCCCCTAAACAAAACATGAAGATGCCAGAGAGAACAGAGCCCAGCCTTTGAAATGCTTCTGTTATTTATCTTAGCATCCTGGGTTGCTGCTTTAAACTATTTTAAATGTAATCTCAGCATTGGTTTGTGTTAATTATTTACTAGTCTCTATTTGTAAAGCATTTACTTGCCCCCTGGGAAGGCAGACTGCTTTGCCACCTGGCCCTGGTCTTGTAAGATGGAAGGACCTCATTGGTTGTGGTTGTGGTTGTGGTAGGGGGAGGGGATGGCTTGCAAAGGACTTCACTTTTTCTTGCTTCCCATTTTTTGTCCCCGTGCTTTGTAAAACATTCCTTTCTTTTCTTTTCTTTTCTTTTCTTTTCTTTTCTTTTCTTTTCTTTTCTTTTCTTTTCTTTTCTTTTCTTTTCTTTTCTTTTCTTTTCTTTTCTTTTCCTGTTTATTTCTGAGAGAGAGAAAGCACGAGTGGGGAGGGACAGAGAGAGGGAGAGAGAGAATCCCAAGCAGGCTCTGCGATGTTAGCACAGAGCCCCATGTGTGGCTTGATCTCATGAACCCATAAGATCATGACCTGAGCCGAAATCAAGAGTCAGACGTTCAACCAACTGAGCCACTCAGGCATCCTGTGCCTGTGCTTTTGACTTGATTTCTTTTTCTCTATTTTCTGTATTCTGCATATTTCACCATGAACCTCATATTTATCCTGATTTTCTGCTCTGAGAAATGAGTTGTCCTTGGAAACGCCTATCTCTATCTCAACGACAGAAGATAAATGAGTAGGATGCAACTGAGGCTCCAGGAAAAAGGAGAAAGAGACACATCCTTCTTAGACTGTGTTGTCCTTTCTCATGGCTCAGTCCCACTGCCTTTCCTATGGTCCGGGACTTGAAGTTCATCACCCTGCTACGTGAGAAGAAATGTTCTGTTCTTATGGCAATAAGGGCAGCCAGTGTGGGACAAAAAGAAAATTTCTCTCCCTTTTGCCACCTTTGGATCCAAGAATCTAGCTCTCTGCACCTGTCCTTATTACTCAGTCCTAATTACAGAGCAAGAGCAAGGCTGCGTTTTGCTGCTTATTCTCCCAAGCCTTGTTTATTTTGTGGATCTTCCCTTCCCTCATACTGAATTGAGGGCTGTACAATAAACAGCCCAAAGCCAAGCCAAGCCTCCTCTTTGAGTTCACAGGTGGTTATCTTTGGAAACGATTTTAATTATCCATTCTGTCTTGTTGCTTTAGCTGACTTCCTAAAGCGGCAATCTGTCTTCCTTCTAGGCTTTTTCCTTAACACAGTGTTGAAAATTTCAACTGCCTGCTGCCGCTCTCATCTGTGACCTGCCTAGTTGACATCCGTGCAGCATTTGATACGATTTTCTCATTTTATGAAAACACGACTTCCCTAACTTCATTCTGTTACTACCACTAGGCTGCAAGCTTCTTGAAAGAAGAACCTATATGCTATGCACGTGTGTTCTCAAAACATATGTTGCAGGTAAGCCATACAAGCTAAATTAAGAACTTTGCAGATTCCTAGTGTCCTTGACATTTCAGACTAGTTCATATTTCCTAACACTTCATGACCGCTTTGCTTCCCAGTGAGTCATTACAACCTCACTGCCCCAAGTGTTTCCTACTCACGGTTGGGCCAGTGACACTCACAGAGGCTCTAACTCATCTTAACCTCCGAGTTCTGCTTCCAAAGCAGGCTCTGCGATGTCAGCACAGAGCCCCATGTGGGGCTTGATCTCACAAACACACAAGATCATGACCTGAGCCAAAATCAAGAGTCAGACGCTCAACCGACTGAGCCACATTGTCTCATTCCATTTTGCATTCCCATCACTGACCACAGCACCTGGCAAACAGGAGCAGGGCCTGAACAACTGCTGTTGAGTAAGTGAATGACTGAATTCAGATGCTTGTTCATGGAGCTCTGCTCACCCAAATGAGATTGGAGGTGACCCCAGCCAGCTGCAGTGACAGTGCTAACGAGGGCAGTATACCTGTGTGCTAGTCCACATTCTTTGACAGATTTGGTGGTTGTTTCCTTCATGGTGAGTTCCTGTACACCTTTGGAGGAACTGGGCTTGTTTTTTGAAGTGAGGACCAATCTCAGGAATAAAATGCACCAATGTAAAGCAGTGGCTTTCAAATGTTTTGATCTCAGGTCACTTTCACCCTCTGAAATGTAGAAGGACCTCAAGGAGCATTTTTTTTTTTTAATTTATTTTTTATTTTTTATTTTTTTAATGTTTATTTGTTTTTGAGACAGAGGGAGACAGAACATGAGTTGGGGAGGGGCATAGAGAGAGGGAGACACAGAATCTGAAACAGGCTCCGGGCTCTGAGCTGTCAACACAGAGCCCGACGCGGGGCTCGAACCCACAAACCGTGAGATCATGGCTTGAGCTGACGTTGGACGCTCAACCGACTGAGCCACCCAGGCACCCCAGGGAGCATTTTTTTATGTGGATCACACCACTTAACATTTACTGTATTAGAAATTTAAACCAAGAAAGTTTAAATATATACACTAAGTTAAAAATAAACCCATTACATGTTGATTATAACTAGTCTCCAAAACAGTAACAA